ATATCATTAAAATTGTCAGCATTTGGCAACAGATACCACACAGTTATTACAATTATGTCCTATTTTATATAAAGGGGAAACTGTGGTATCTCAGACTCTACTATGTGGAAACCCTGATGTTTTAGTGGCATGCATATAGTATATATTCAGCTTCACACCGAGCCTGGTTAAAATCTACTTGAGTTTAAAAGCACCTGGTAGCAGTAATGGAGTTTTTGGAGAAATAGTGTTTTTTTCTGTAACATTTTGCATGTGTGTCTGTTCCCCAGGAGTGTGCCATTGAAGGAGGAGATTGCTGTCATACATGCACCCTGACTGCAGGCTCACAGTGCAGCAATGGGCTTTGCTGTAGAAAGTGTCAGGTAAGTACAATGAGCTTAAAGTGACTTGTGCTGTCATTTATGGGGAGTTAATGAGTTTAGGTGATTATAAGCACAATTGCACATGCATTTTTGCTCTCAGACCTTGGACCTCCCTTTCTGAAATTTTGACCCTTAAAACTCATCAAAAACTGATTAATCTAGCTCTGATCTTTGTCTTTTAGATTATAAAATACTTGGGGCAGGGAGTGTGGGCCAAATTCAGAGGTGAGTCTAAGTCTAGACTAATTTACACCTTCTTCCAACCCCAAACCAGTCCAAATCAGTTTGGACTCCTTCTGGACTCCTTTAGACTTACATGTTCAGACGCATGCACCATGTCACTTATACATCACCTCTACATTTGCCTCTCTGAATCAGAGGAAGTCTCTGTTGGAGAAAATTATAGAACGGGGGTCACAGAGAAGAGTGTAGTAAGAAGAGCAACTAGCAGTAAGGTGTAAGGATGTGTAAGTTAAAGGAGGCCTGCTGTTACTTTAACTTATACCTTCTCCTGGTTCCTTAACATGGGACTTGATCCAGAGCCCATTTAATACAATGCAAATCTTTTTATTTAATTTATTGAGCTTTGGATCAGGCCCTATGTAAGTCACACAAGCTTAAACTCCCATAAGGCCTGGTCTATTCTAAAAAGTCAGGTTGACCCAGCTATGTCACTCAAGGGTGTGAAAAACCCACACCCCTGAGCTCTGTAGTTAAGCTGGCTTACCCCCTGATGTAGACAGCGCTTGGGCTTCTTCCGTCAACCTAGTTTCTGCCTCTCAGGAAGGTGGATTAAGTACTACGGCAGGAGAACCCGTCCCATTACTGTAGTGAGTGTTTACACTGAAGCGGTACAGAGACGCACCTGTGCTATTGTAGAGGTTTAATGTAGACAGCCTTAGACTCATAAATCAATCAATAGGCAGAAGCAGGTCAAGTGTCTGTTCACAAGGGAGTCCAGCTACACACTCTTCTGATTTTCACCTTTTGTCTTCAAGCTGAGGACAATGTTCTAATAAAGGACAATGTTCATCTAATAAATAATAATAATGTTATCAATGCAGTGTACTTATATGCGATATTATCATCTTGATCGATGGGCATTTATGTGTCTGACTCCTATAGGAGAAATGTTAGTAATAGCTTAGTGCCACATTCTTCTTTGACTTTGGGCTCATCATTAAACACAAAAAATGTGCAAATTATGCTGTAATAGACCATTATAAGGCCCATTTGCCTTCCCTTAAGCCTAATTGAGCAGCAGGTCACCGATGCGTTGGTCCTCACACCCTTTGAAAGGGCCAGTCACCCTGTGACAGGCACTCTTATTCTGAAATAAGTGTGTCCACGTGTGATGTTAGTCAAGAACAGCTGTATGTATACACAAGCCCTTAGGATCCTAAGTCACTTAGGCACTTTTGAAAATGTTACCCTATCTGTCTAACTTATCTATCTATTTTTTTCCACAGCTGGTAGGGGAGAAAAAAACTAAGCCAGGTGTCAGAAAAAAGTTTCCTATGATGTTAATCAATTTAGCTCTACTAAAGTCAATGAAGCTACACTGATTACACCAGCTGGGGACCTAGAACACTAGCAGGTCAAATCTTATACAAAATCTGTGTGCAGAAAGAGAGCACAAATTAAAAAAGTGAACTGTGGTGCACAGATTAACAGACCAGTCAGGAAAAACTGAGGGCTCTGAGGTGGACCTGAGGCATGTCCATAACTGGTGATGCAACTGAGAAAGAAGTAGTGATGATTGATTGGCAAACAGGGTGCACAGCACTGACAGTCCCCACTTCTAGGATATTTTGCCATTTCTTCAGGTCATGAGGCTTTTGGCAATGGTATAAAATGTTTATTCAGAAATTAAACACCATACATTCTGTCACTACTAAATTTCTCATCCTTAAATGTATGGATACTTTAGAAGTGGGTATAAAATGATGTAGAATCCAACAATGTTTATGGCCAATTTCTACCCTGATTTACACTGTTATAATTGAGTTACTTAAATGTAAGTGACCCAATGATCTCTTACTAATGACCTCTGGTAGCTGTCCTGGAGGAAGTGAAAATTATAAAAGAGAAGCGTGGTCTGTGGTTAGATGCTAGTTAGGAGGCTCAATTTCAATTCCCTTCCTCCACACACATCCTGTGTGCTTTTGGGCAAGTCATTAGTCTCACTGTGCCTCAGTTCCCTCTCTGTAAAATGGGGGTAAAAGCATTTTTCTACCTCATCGGGGTGTTGTGAGGGTAAACATTAAAGACTGTGAGGTACTCAGGTACTACAGTGATGAGAGACATGCAAGTATCTTAGGTAGATTAATAGAAGTGAGAGCAAAATTTGGCCCTTACACTTGTAACTGAAAACATAAGGTGATTGTTTTCTTAATCCTGGTGACATGTGTGGAATCTAAACTGAGTCAAAACAGCTTCCCCAAAAACAGTTGAAAATTTCCCATTGTTTGATTCTGGTTAAAACTGTTGAAATTATTATTGCATGAAAAAGCTGGTTATAGAGATACTAAGAAAGTGATTTTTTCAAACTTGTTTTAGTTTGAATCAAAAGGAGTTGTGTGTCGAGATGCGGTAAATGATTGTGATATTCCAGAAAACTGCACAGGAAACTCCAGCCAGGTAATATTTTAAAACTCTTTCACAAAAAGTGAAAAAGTTCAACACATGCACAATCTCAGTCAGTATGAGAGTTATTGTAGTAGTATTGTAAGTTGTTTAAATGTTGTATAAAAATTACTTTAAGTTTAGGGGGGAAAGTGATAGTGAAAGAAATTTTGAAATGCCACTAATGGCCTTAGATTTATAAATTGTTTTTATAGCCTGCTCACTATCTGGATTATCAAGTGGTTATTTTCTCTTTCCATAGTGTTCTCCCAATATTCACAAAATGGATGGGTATTCATGTGATAACAAACAGGTAATTATAATTTGGATTTATATTTTTAGTATTTTTATAGTTGGGAAAACATATTCCTATAGGTTCTGATCTGAAATCCTTTGAAGTCAGTAGGAGTCTTACCACTAACTTCAAAGAGATTTGGATCTAGGGTCACAAAGTATTTTCAATTAGAAAGTAGAACCACATTATGTGTTAATTAGTGTTTCCATCATATATTGCAAAATAAACTGAATAATAGTCATTTACCTGATTTGAAAATGTATTTGACCCAGTTGTGAAAATGTCTCTTCTGTTTCTTTAGGGTATTTGTTTCGGAGGAAGATGTAAAACCAGGGATCGGCAGTGTAAATACATCTGGGGTGAAAGTGAGTATACATTATTGTTTCTAAGTTGATTTTCATTGATATAGCTCTAAAGATTCAAATATCTTGTAGACATACACCTACCTGGAATCATTAAAATCAGTCAAAATTTAGCTGGGACTGTGTGCCATGATATGGACTCACCATGAGACCGAGTTCCATATGTAAAAGAGGAAACTTGTGAACTTTGCCCTTTAGTTCTTGTTTTTTGCCTGGACTCACTTTTAGTATAATTGTTTACTTTTTTATGAAAAGGAGTGGGCAGTTGCTCTGTGATCCTCTATCTTCCTTCCCTCACTTTACTTCTGTCCCTGGCTATTGAAGACCCTTCAGCATAACAACCATGTCTGCAGCCAACAAGTGCTTGGCTTGACACTCTTCAAAGACCATCACTGGTGATCCATGCATTAGTCAGAGGAGGTCACTCAAGAGTTTCTTCTCTCTAGGGACTGAGCAATTGCTTCTGCTGTGCTCCCGGTCCCTGCTGGCCCTTGGAGCTTAGAACAAGCCCAGAACCTCCCTAGATTGCCATGGTGATCGGTTTCTTCACACTGATTGGTGTACTTATATTTAGTTAGCAGTTAGGAACGTGTTTGAAACCATGGCTAGAAAAAATAAATGGTTGCCAGAGGTCTTCATTCATGTCTGATTTAGTGCATATCTGTTTATTTAAACGTGTGGAATTTTGTGTGCCGGTTTTAACCTGGCACCTGAAATCCCAGCAGAAGAGTCTCCACACACAGAGCTGCACCCACCGGTTTAACAAAATGTGTTTAATATCACACGTCTAGTTAAACTGATGCAACTTTGTGTGTTGAACGCGACAATGTGTAGAAAATAAGATTCAACTTAGGCTATGTCTACACTAGAGAGCTTACATCAGCACAGCTGTACCGATACAGTAACATCTCTCGTGTAGCTGCTCTATGCTGATAGGAGAGAGCTCTCCCGTCAACATAATTAAATCACCCCCAACGAGTGGCGGAAGCTTCGTCCATGGGAGAAGCTCTCCTGATGACATAGCGCTGTCCACACCAGCACTTCTAGCTGTGTAACTTACGTTGCTTAAGGGTGTGGTTTTTTCAACATAAGTTTTGGCAACATATGTGGTAGTATAGACATAGCCTTAGGCTGTTAGCTCTTTCGGGCAGGGTCTCTCTATGTGTTATGCGTT